CTCCAGGATCGGGCTACACCCGAGCTGAAATTTACGACGCGCGACCGTGCATCTCGCCAGAGAGAAGAAGAGCACGGAGCAGGTCAGTGCTACCTGCACCCGGCGTTGTGGACGAGGACCGAGCTGCTGCAAGAAGGGCGCCAGGCGAGGGGTGACTACCTACCAGACCACCCCAACCCAACCCGAAGACCCGAGTTTCGGGTTGGGGGGGTAAGGGTTCCACATGTGTTTTTTCGATGCTTCCCGACCCCCCCCCACTGGAAACCGAGGGTAAATCTGAGCCTTCGGGTTGGGTTGAGGTGGTTTGGTGGGTGCTGAGGGGGGGGGCCCCGACCGCGCCGTGCGCGAGAGGAGGCACGTCACCGCCGCTGCGGGGACGGCCTGCCGCCCCCTGCGGCAGGGCCGCATCGCACGGGCGCCCGAGGCGGCAAAGAGTGGCCCCCGAGGGGGCACGCCGCGAGGCGGAGAGCGGCGGGGCGCCTGCCCCGGCAGGCCCCGGAGCCCCGACCCCCTCGCGCCGAGAAAAGACCACGACGGGAGGCTTCTCGCTCTCCCCCCGGGGGGCCCTCCCCAGGCCCTGGGGACCGTCCAGAAACGACGCAGGACGAAAGACCGGTCCCGGGCAAGGGGTCCTGCATGGGGAAACCAAAAGGTACCGATACCGCTACTCCCCGGACCTCTCCCGGGGTGCGTTCTGACCAGAATTTCGAAGCGAATGCAGCGATGGCGACGAGGGCCTCCCAGGAGGCCCAAAAAGGGGAAAACGGGCGAAGGGTAGAGGTATGGGTACCTTTTTGCCCTGTGAGGTCCGAACCTCGGGGGCCGACGTTGTGAAAAAATCACGACGTCGGGGGTCTGGGTAGAGCAAATCCAAGGAGGAAGAGAGCACGGGGCCTAGCAGCGAGGCGGGGAGCGCCTGCCCAGGCGAAGCAGGCTGGAGGAGCAGCCACCGCGCCCACCGGAGAGCAGCACAAGCCAGTGGCCTGCCGCCGGCATAGCTGCTATAGCTGGGAAGGCGACCAAGGGAGAGGGGAGAGCGAGGGAGAGGAAGCATAAAGACAGAGCGAGGGGAAGGGCATGGTGGGTGCGCCACTGGCTTACAGGACGCCCGCCAGGTAATCGGCGGCGGCACGCCAGCCTGCGCAGGGCAGGAAGCAACGGAACGCAGCAAGCCTGAGCACGCACTGGCCAGGAGAGCGGCGGAGGGAGCAGAAGACGGAGACGGAACGCGCGCGGCAGGCCGGCTGAGTGCGCACTGGCCAGCCGCCAGAAGCACAGGAACTCGCAGTGGCGACGGACAGAGCCGCCACGCAGTGGCAGGCGCCTGCCCAGGCAGGCCTGGCAGAGCAACCAAAGGTTGGAGGCCAGAATGAGAGGGGGAACAGAAGAGTGAACAACAGAGCGAGACGAGGGGAAGGAGTGATAGAGCTCAGTGCACACATTCACACCAGATTTCGGAGTTCCACGCGGATTTCTTGGGTCGGCGCTGGGCCCCGTGGCGCGCGGGTGCCGCCAGGGGGAGACCAAGACCGCACATATATACACACACACACACACAAACAAACACACACACACACACTTTGATCGCACGCGGCTGGGGAATGAAATCGTGCGGACGCCCGCACAGCCGGGAGACCAGGTGTCAGGACTGCCGAACCTGCAGCTGCGTTCGGCGCAAGACGCGCCCAAATGCAGACACAGCCAACCCTCACGCAGCAGGGCAACGGCGGATCAGGCGGGCCGGGCGGGCGCGTGCAGGTCGGCCAACACGGCAAGTGGCGCGGGACGCGGCGATGGCGGGGAGACCTGGCGCCAGCGTGGGCAACAGGATGCGGAAAGAGCCGACCTCATGACAAACGACATACGTACACGCACAGACACGCACACACACACACACACACACACACACACACACACACACACACACACACACACACACACACACACGCACACACACACACACACATAGAGTCAAACTCGATTTACATATGAACGCATCGCGTCAGAGACATCTCTTTTCCCCACTCACTGCATGCGCTGAGGGGGTTTTCCTTCTTTTCCTAGGGAACTGTGCCTGAGTGTCGGGTCTGGCGGCTATGTTGTCACCGTCGCCGCCCAGTCGCTGCCTCGTCGCCACCCGATTTCTGGGCCTGATAATCGATCTGGCGGCTATGTTGTCGTCGTCGCCGCCCCGTCGCCGCTTCGCATATTTGCCCCACACAGATGGCATCACATGGAGTCTCTCTTCCTACACAAATATTCAGATATCCCCCCCCCAGCACCGGGTCGAACGGGCCGTTGTTTCGTTTTGCTATTTACAAATGGTTATGCCCCATCGTCCATCCTAACTTTGAACGAATACCATCCCAAGCACGCCGGTATCGGTTCCCCCCCTCATCCTCTGGAACAAGAACTATGCACGCACATTCGCTTCTATCAAAAACTACCCGTTTTCAAACATCATTTGCCAAAAAAACGAAGTGCATTCGCGCGCGTCGTC